GTGGGCACAGGCACTGGGGTTCAACTTGCGTTCACATCTTCCTCCTCTACATATCGTACACTCGGGTGAGTGTCTTCACCACTCTGTCCCCCTACATAACGTACACTCGGGTGGGTGTCTTCACCACTCTGTGCCCATACATATCGTACCCTCGGGTGGGTGTCTTCACCACTCTGTGCCCCTACATATCGTACCCTCGGGTGGGTGTCTTCACCACTCTGTCCCCCTACATATCGTACACTCGGGTGAGTGTCTTCAGTGCTCTGTCCCCCGATCGTTTCATGAGCAGAATGCGCACAATCACAGAAGCCATCCCCGGGGCTGTTTCAAGGGCTCACTCAGTCAGAGTCTCTGTGACCAACACTCCCAAGACTCTGACAGTACGAGGCATGGGTACAGAGCTATTCTTTGCAGCTTTCTTTGTAATCTCCAAGAATTAGGAACGTGTCCCCCAGAGAGGAGTCATTAACTAAATTCTGGGACAGTTGGTTGGAAGGAAGAATACAGAACTGCAAAGAACATGCCAAACACACTGGCTGCATTGAAGCAGTGCCCGTCGTAGCCTGGGTTCTCCAGGGATGCAAACCCATCTTGTAGACAGATCGATAGGTAGACAGATCTATAGGGATTTATCTCAAGGAAATGGTTCATGTAGTTGTAGAGGCTGGAATTCTGACATCCCTGGGTCAGACATCAGTCTAGATGCTTCTCCTGCAGGGGTGATGAAGCCAAGATCAGCAGGTAAGACAACAGGCTGCTGGTTCACAGACTGTGAAGGCAGCAGTCCCCAAATCAGCAGGCAATATGGCAGCCGCTGGTTCAAGTTCAAAGAACTGAAGGTCAAAGACGATGAACAAGATGCAGGATCCCAATGGAGCAGCAAACACAGAGCCAGAGAGCTCTGCTGGGTATCACATGCATGGGAAGCAGGCCACACCCCTGAGGAAACTCCCTTCCCACTCATTGGCTGGGACATCATTGGGGAGGTTACTGCATCATAGCAGGTCTCATCATGGAGGATGATTACATCATAACTGCCAAACCACTGAGAATCATGGCCCAGACATGATGATACATAGCCTTCACCACGACAGGGCCACAAGGGGAAGGTGTGGGGGAGACAGTTGTTGTTGTAACAAGGTT